ATCGGACACATTTTTTTAAAACTAGATACCCTAATGATGATTGTGGCCAAGTTTGGTTAAATTTAGCCTAGTAGTTTCAGAGGAGAAGATTCTTGTAAAAGTTAAAGAACGATGGACGACGACTACGACAACGAACGCCAAGTGATGAAAATAGCTCACTTGGCCCATTGGGCCAGGTGAGCTAAAAACTAGACATTTGTTGGCTTTATGTACACTTCAGAACAAAAAAAATTGATAAAAAGGATAATTTCAAATTAGACATCTGCTTATTTTGTTTATTATCGAAGAAATAATATATGGATAAATTCAAAAATTCAAAATGGCCTACGATTTTGCTTGATCAACATCATATATTTTGATGGGGTAGATTCCACAGTCTACCAGTCTGTAACTAAGGTGAAACAAATTAATTCCATAAGAACCAAAAACTTTAAGACTCATATGAGCCTGTTTAGATCAATTTACAGCCATAACTCATGACTAGGAATCTATATTTTTTTATATGATCAAGTCAGTACCATCTATTTTATTTCTTTAAGCCGCTATTTAAAATAAGGGGGCCTGGCCTCACAAGGAGTCTTAATGTCGTTCTTGATTTCAATCCTCTGAGTGTTTCTCAAAAAGATTTCTCTATATTTCCTAGACTTTTATTTAAGGAAAAAGTGGTGGAGTACAGATCAATGAGACAGCAACCCAATGACAAAAATAACCAAAAGATATGTAGTGCTTTCTAATTCTAAGTCATTCAAAATAGTCTATTCATCTGTGAAGCATTTAGAAACGTAGAGATAATTTATTTACAATAACCTAAGGAACATTATTGTTGTTTCTTTGCTTCACCAGTAGAAAAGAAGTTCTAAATTATTATAACCAACAAACATGTTACTACACATGTACATGTTACAATTCTATTTTCTTATTTGTTTTTAAATCTGCTAAATTCTAAATTACAGTGTCAAGTATAATTTTGTTTAGAACTTTTCATACTTTACTAATATATCTCCATATTTAAAGGCATCACATATTTCTCATTTAAAAAAATCACACTTTTCATTATTCTGTGGTTTATGACAAAGTAAAAAATGTTAAATTTCTCTGTTAGAAGGAAGTCAAACACTGTAATGCTAGGTACTCATGAAACAAAATGTACATGCCCCCTCTCCTCTTACACTAACACATGGGGGCCCATGTTCTGTAAACTTCAAAATATGGTTCCAATCCACAATTTGGCATGTATTTTTTAAAATCCACATTATAATGAACCCAGTGAAAACGAAGGGATGTACTAATGGCCGGTGGACACAGAGGCTGGAAATGTAAAATCTACTACTATTATTACTACAGGGTATTAATGTTATATCTATAAAATTGAATTTATTTACAATAAACTGAAAATATGAATATTGTTATAATTCAATGTCATTTACCACTGGTATCATCATTAAATGCCCTTCACCACTATTAAATTATAGTATAACCTACCTCAGGTAACATTAATCAAGTTATAGTATAACCTACCTCAGGTAAAATTAATTAAGTTATAGTATAACCTACCTCAGGTAACATTAATCAAGTTATAGTATAACCTACCTCAGGTAACATTAATCATGTTATAGTATAACCTACCTCAGGTAACATTAATCAAGTTATTGTATAACCTACCTCAGGTAACATTAATCAAGTTATAGTATAACCTACCTCAGGTAACATTAATCAAGTTATAGTATAACCTACCCCAGGTAACATTAATCAAGTTATAGTATAACCTACCTCAGGTAACATTAATCAAGGTTTAGTATAACCTTCCTCAGGTAACATTAATCCAGTTATAGTATAACCTACCTCAGGTAACATTAATTAAGTTATAGTATAACCTTCCTCAGGTAACATTAATCCAGTTATAGTATAACCTACCTCAGGTAACATTAATCAAGTTATTGTATAACCTACCTCAGGTAACATTAATCAAGGTTTAGAATAACCTACCTCAGGTAACATTAATTAAGTTATAGTATAACCTACCTCAGGTAACATTAATCAAGTTATTGTATAACCTACCTCAGGTAACATTAATCAAGTTATAGTATAAACATTAATCAAGTTATAGTATAACCTACCTCAGGTAACATTAATCAAGGTTTAGAATAACCTACCTCAGGTAACATTAATTAAGTTATAGTATAACCTACCTCAGGTAACATTAATCAAGTTATTGTATAACCTACCTCAGGTAACATTAATCAAGGTTTAGAATAACCTACCTCAGGTAACATTAATTAAGTTATAGTATAACCTACCTCAGGTAACATTAATCAAGTTATTGTATAACCTACCTCAGGTAACATTAATCAAGTTATAGTATAAACATTAATCAAGTTCTAGTATAACCTACCTGAGGTAACATTAATCAAGTTCTAGTATAACCTACCTCAGGTAACATTAATCAAGTTATAGTATAAACATTAATCAAGTTCTAGTATAACCTACCTGAGGTAACATTAATCAAGTTCTAGTATAACCTACCTCAGGTAACATTAATCAAGTTATAGTATAACATTCCTCAGGTAACATTAATCAAGTTATAGTATAACCTACCTCGGGTAACATTAATCAAGTTATAGTATAACCTACCTCGGGTAACATAAATCCAGTTCTAGTATAACCTACCTCAGGTAACATTAATCAAGGTTTAGAATAACCTACCTCAGGTAACATTAATCAAGTTCTAGTATAACCTACCTCGGGTAACATTAATCAAGTTCTAGTATAACCTACCTCGGGTAACATTAATCAAGTTATAGTATAACCTACCTCGGGTAACATTAATCAAGTTATAGTATAACCTACCTCAGGTAACATTAATCAAGTTATAGTATAACCTACCTCAGGTAACATTAATCAAGTTATAGTATAACCTACCTCAGGTAACATTAATCAAGTTATAGTATAACCTACCTCAGGTAACATTAATCAAGTTATAGTATAACCTACCTCAGGTAACATTAATCAAGTTATAGTATAACCTACCTCAGGTAACATTAATCAAGTTCTAGTATAACCTTCCTCGGGTAACATTAATCATGTTATAGTATAACCTACCTCAGGTAACATTAATCATGTTATAGTATAACCTACCTCAGGTAACATTAATCAAGTTATTGTATAACCTACCTCAGGTAACATTAATCAAGTTATAGTATAACCTACCTCAGGTAACATTAATTAAGTTATAGTATAACCTACCTCAGGTAACATTAATCAAGGTTTAGAATAACCTACCTCAGGTAACATTAATTAAGTTATAGTATAACCTACCTCAGGTAACATTAATCAAGTTATTGTATAACCTACCTCAGGTAACATTAATCAAGTTATAGTATAAACATTAATCAAGTTATAGTATAACCTACCTCAGGTAACATTAATCAAGGTTTAGAATAACCTACCTCAGGTAACATTAATTAAGTTATAGTATAACCTACCTCAGGTAACATTAATCAAGTTATTGTATAACCTACCTCAGGTAACATTAATCAAGTTATAGTATAAACATTAATCAAGTTCTAGTATAACCTACCTCAGGTAACATTAATCAAGTTATAGTATAACCTACCTCAGGTAACATTAATCAAGTTATAGTATAACCTACCTCAGGTAACATTAATCAAGTTTTAGTATAACCTACCTCAGGTAACATTAATCAAGTTATTGTATAACCTACCTCAGGTAACATTAATCAAGTTATAGTATAACCTTCCTCAGGTAACATTATTCAAGTTATAGTATAACCTACCTGAGGTAACATTAATCAAGTTATAGTATAACCTACCTCAGGTAACATTAATCATGTTATAGTATAACCTACCTCAGGTAACATTAATCAAGTTTTAGTATAACCTACCTCAGGTAACATTAATCAAGTTATAGTATAACCTTCCTCAGGTAACATTAATCAAGTTATAGTATAACCTACCTCAGGTAACATTAATCAAGTTATAGTATAAACATTAATCAAGTTCTAGTATAACCTACCTCAGGTAACATTTATCAAGTTCTAGTATAACCTTCCTCAGGTAACATTAATCAAGTTATAGTATAACCTACCTCGGGTAACATAAATCATGTTATAGTATAATCTACCTCAGGTAACATTAATCAAGTTATAGTATAACCTACCTCGGGTAACATTAATCAAGGTTTAGAATAACCTACCTCAGGTAACATTAATCAAGTTATAGTATAACCTACCTCAGGTAACATAAATCATGTTATAGTATAATCTACCTCGGGTAACATTAATCAAGGTTTAGAATAACCTACCTCAGGTAACATTAATCAAGTTATAGTATAACCTTCCTCAGGTAACATAAATCATGTTATAGTATAATCTACCTCAGGTAACATTAATCAAGTTATAGTATAACCTTCCTCAGGTAACATTAATCAAGGTTTAGTATAACCTACCTCAGGTAACATTAATCAAGTTATAGTATAACCTACCTCAGGTAACATAAATCATGTTATAGTATAATCTACCTCGGGTAACATTAATCAAGGTTTAGAATAACCTACCTCAGGTAACATTAATCAAGTTATAGTATAACCTACCTCAGGTAACATTAATTAAGTTATAGTATAACCTACCTCAGGTAACATTAATAAAGTTATAGTATAACCTACCTCAGGTAACATTAATCAAGTTATAGTATAACCTACCTCAGGTAACATTAATCAAGTTATAGTATAACCTACCTCAGGTAACATTAATCAAGTTCTAGTATAACCTACCTCAGGTAACATTAATCAAGTTAAAGTATAACCTACCTCAGGTAACATTAATCAAGTTATAGTATAACCTACCTCAGGTAACATTAATCAAGGTTTAGTATAACCTACCTCAGGTAACATTAATCAAGTTATAGTATAACCTACCTCAGGTAACATTAATCAAGGTTTAGTATAACCTACCTCAGGTAACATTAATCAAGTTATAGTATAACCTACCTCAGGTAACATCAATCAAGTTCATAATCTTCATCCATAGATACTGGTGACAGCAGTGTTGTTCCTACATTTATTTCTTCCATTGAAAAATCTGAAAATCACAAACCTTTTCATTTTCATGTTGTCAAGTATAATTTTCTAATAGCAAATTATAATAATATATTTAGAACTATATTTAGTGAGTGTATCTTTCTAACATAAAAACATGTGTCTCTCTTGTTTCTTAATGTTTAAGTTAGGATAGTAACTATAAACAAGAGGCTCCTCAGAGCCTAAATCGCTCAGCTGTAAAAAATTTGTCTTGTTTTGCTGATAAAAAATAAGTCAAATAAAAGAAGAATGTGTCTGAGGACACAAATGCCCCCGTTCAAGATTGCTCGTAATAGGTGAAAATACATTGCGGACGGACGGAAAGACAGATGGAAGGACGGACAGAAGGACAGAAGGAAAAACGGACTGAAAGAAGGAAAGACGGAAGGAAGGATAGATGGTCAAGGGTAACACTTAATGCCCCCTTTGGCTTAGCGGTGGGGGAATAAAAATCGTAATTTTAAAGGCAAAAACTCCTATAAGTTGTACTACCTTTTTTGTAAATCTTGGATTGATGATAATTTTTGTAGAGCCTACGAAATTTATTTCGAGAAAGCGAGACATAGCAATCCTAGATTCCGTCGTCGGCAACAACAACATTAAGGTTCAGTCTGTGGTCAAAGTTTTTTTGGACATCAATAACGTTGTCAAACCTACATGGAATTAGATGAAATTTGGACAGAAGCTTGTTTATGACCAAAATACAGTATCCAGAGCAAAATTATGAAAATATTTATTTTTCATTTTTCCGTATTTTACTGATAAATGGACTTAGTTTTTTGTACAGTTAACATTCATATTCAGTCTAAGGTTAAAGTTTTTCAGTCATCAATGAAAGAACCTTAGTGAGCGCGCTCACATACCCCACGTCCCCACATTGTCATTGGAGAAATAAAAAATAAGTGTAAGAAAAAAAAATTGTATCAGAAAAAAAAATTGAATCATAATTTCCTGTCAATATGCACATCTACATAGTATGTTCTTATTATCTACACAGTTTCATGAAATTCTGTTGTGTGGTTTGAGAGAAGTTGCGATGACAAAAGGTTGCAGTAGTATATTGGGCAAATAAGTTCAAAGGGGCGTAACCCCTGGAAAAAAAATTGAATCGTAATTTCCTGTCGATATGCACATCTACGTAGTATGTCCTTATTATCTGAAAAGGTTTCATGAAATTCTGTTGTGTGGTTTGAAAGAAGTTGCGATGACAAAACGTTGCAGTAGTATATTGGGCAAATAAGTTCAAAGGGGCGTAACTCCTGGAAAAAAAAATTGAATCGTAATTTCCTGTTGATATGCACATCTACGTAGTATGTCCTTATTATCTGAAAAGGTTTCATGAAATTCTGTTGTGTGGTTTGAGAGGAGTTGCGATGACAAACTGTTGCAGTAGTACATTAAAGTAAATAAGTTCAAAGGGGCGTAACTCCTAGAAAAAAAATTGAATAGTAATTTCCTGTCGATATGCACAACTACATAGTATGTCCTTGTTATCTAAAAAGGTTTCGTGAAATTTTGTTGTGTGGTTTGAGAGGAGTTGTGATGACAAGAAATAGGACTGACGGACTGACAGACTGACGGACTGACAAGACTGACAGACTGACGGACGGACGGAGAGACGGACGTACGGGTCAAAAACATTATACCCTCCGCAACTCGTTGCGTGGGGTATAATAACTTTGTCAAACACTCATGGAAATTGAAGAAATTTGGACAGAAGATTGTTTATGACCAAAATACAGTATCCAGAGCAAAATTTTGAAAATATTTATTTTAATTTTTCCGTATCTTTCTGATAAATGGACTTAGTTTTTTTTTACATTTAATAAATAGATAGTCTGGGGTTAAAGTTTGTTACACTTCAAATACTTTGTCATAGAATTTTATGAAACTTTTTTATGATTAAGATATAATGTCTGAAGCATGCTTTTAAAAATATATTTTCAATTTCAGTATTTTTCTGATAGATGGACTTTTTTACAGTAAACATTTACTGATAGTCTTGGATTAAATTTTTTTGACATGATAAGTTTATTTACCGTCATGGATTGTTATGAAACTTGGACAGAAGCTAATCTTCAAGACCAAGAAATAGCATCTAAAGAGAAAGTTTGAATCTTTTTTTAACATTCTGTATTTTACTGATAAATGGACACTTTTACACTGACAGCAGCAATCGTAGGCGAGACACAGGGTTCCGTGGAACAACTTACAAATTTTTTATGTTTATAGTTTCTATCATCTACTATCTATTATAGTTTTCAAGATTATAGGCAAAGACTTGAAAATTTGTCAAAATTCCCCTAACATTTCAGAGCAATAACTCCTACAAAAAGTCACCTTAAGGGAAAACGATACAGTTTTGATCCAACAGTGAATGCTTGACAAAAATTTGCATTCAAGCTATTTTTCACCTAGACAATTCAGATACGTAATAAAAAACATACCTTCATGTGCTACTTTTAGAGATAAATCTGGTCGTAATTTTAGACATTTACTAAAAATTTTGGTATCCTTGACATTTCTATCCTTTGCATAGACATACCCAACTTTTTTGTTTCTAAATTTAAGGTAAACACAGGCTATTTTTTGTAAAAACATTTGGAATATCTTCTTTACATAAATATCCTCTTCATTTGTGTATCAATTCTTCGGATATAATTCATTTCTATTAAATTTTCATGATTTTAGAAAACTAGAGGCTCTAAAGAGCCTGTGTCGCTCACCTTGGTCTATGTGCATACCAGTATTCAACAAAGGACACTCTCTAACATTGTAGACGAGAATAGAATTCATGACAAAATCTCTGTTATGTTGATCTTGTATTACTCATCATTTAGTCTGTTTAGTTTCTCTCTATCTTCCTTAGTTTTTGCTCAAAACAAAAAAGAGGGTAAAGAAAATCCTCATTTAAGGGCAATCACTCCTATAAAGAGTGACAGTCTACTAACTATATCGGCAAAATTTGACTTGTTAGTAGATCTTGCCTTACTGATCAGTTTTGTGATTTAAAGTATCTATTTGTCTATTTTAATTTTTATCATATAAGGCATAAACGCAAAAAAAAAATGGTAAAAATCCTCATTAAAGGGCAATAACTCCAATAAGGAGATGTCGGATGATTTCCTCAAAATTGTCTTAATTGTAGATCTTGTCTTGCTGATCATTTTTGCTTATTTAAGTTTCTATCTATCTATTATAATTTTTAAGGCAAAAACACAAAAAATTTGTAAAAATAGTCATCAAAGGGCAACAACTCTAGTAAGGAGTCGACTGACAATTTCGACCATCAGATTTTTTTATAGGTCTTGTCTTGCTGATCATATTTGCCTACTTAAGGTTTCTCTCTATCTTCTATAGTTTTCAAGATAATAGGCAAAAATGAAAAAAAATGGGAAAGTTGTCAATTAAGGGCAATAACTCCTATAAGAAGTTGTCTAACAGTTTTGACGTATATTGACAAATGGTAGAGCTCAAAAATCTTGCTCCTGTCAGATTTTCTCTATTTATAAAGGTTTCCAAAATAATAGAGAAAACTTGCATTTTACCCATGTTCTATTTTTAGCCATGTTGGCCATCTTAGTTGGCAGGCAGGGTCGTCGGACATATTTTTTAAACAGGATACCCCAATGATGATTGTGGTCAAGTTTGGTTAAATTAGGTCCAGTAGTTTTAGAGGGGAAAATTTTTGTAAAAGTTAACGGACGACGATGATGACCACAACCACCACAAACGACGTACGCCTAGTGATGAGAAAAGTGGGCAGGTGAGCTAAAAAAATGATATTCTTTGCTGTATATTTATCTAATGTAAAAAAAAATTCCATCAGTGATTTGTTCATAAAAATTGGTACAAATAATTTTCATGCATGATCAAGCCAAATGTCATTTTTAAAAAGAGGGGTTCATGTACGCGTTTTCAAGCTAACAATTAAAATCAGTCAAAAAATGTATATTTTCCCGATATGTCATAGTTTGACGTCCCTAGTAGCATTTTTTAAGATTTTGTATTAATGATCATTTTTGCTGTTAGGTGGTGTTTTATTTTCAATTATATTGTAATAATCAAAGTTGTTGATTTTAGAAATTTCACATGCTGGCTCACTCCTTACATAGGATAGAAAGATAGACACAATATTTCCCCCATCAAATCTTAAGGAGACACAATTATTTCTTCATTTTCCCCTTATTTCTGCTTGATTTCTCTTTAGATATTTTATATCAGTTCATATATAAATCATTAATATTGGTTAATATTGTCCTGATAGATATTTATATTGTACGAGCTTGTGAGTTCATTATATATTCTATGAGGAATAATATTCACCATTATACATGAAATAACCCTTTAATTTTATAGGGAAGCTTTAAATACTGCTTAAAACATAATTTTATTACTGATAACTTCAATAATTTGAAGCTTTATTTGCACGTTTGACACTAACTTTTTGCTTTTCATTCTTGGGAAATTTTATGTTGCTATTAACAATTATGACAGATATTTCCCTCTTTTCCTTATATTTTACAGCTAACTATATTTTGTACTTATGATACTCACCAAGTATGTCATTTTTTACAACTAACTATATATTTCTACCTATGATACTCACCAAGGATGTCATTTTTTACAACTAACTATATATATATTATACTTATATGATACTCACCAAGGTTGTCCTTTTTTACAACTAACTATATATATTTTCTACTTATATGATACTCACCAAGGATGTCCTTTTTTACAACTAACTATATACTTTCTACTTATATGATACTCACCAAGGATGTCCTTTTTTACAACTAACTATATATATATTATACTTATATGATACTCACCAAGGTTGTCCTTTTTTACAACTAACTATATATTATCTACCTATGATACTCACCAAGGTTGTCATTTTCTACAACTAACTATATATTTTCTACCTATGATACTCACCAAGGTTGTCCTTTTTTACAACTAACTATATATTTTCTACCTATGATACTCACCAAGGTTGTCCTTTTTTACAACTAACTATATATTATCTACCTATGATACTCACCAAGGATGTCATTTTCTACAACTAACTATATATTTTCTACTTATATGATACTCACCAAAGTTGTCCTTTTTGGAAGGCATTAACCTGTAATAGATCCTGTGGAAGAATTGACTTATTCTTCCTCTCTTTTCAATATCATACATGTCAAAGGAGTCTTCTAAAATCAAAAAATCATTTTATTGAACAATGGTAATTCTTTAAAATAAAGTGGTGTCTTATTCTTACATCATATGCATAAATAGCTGCGAGGGTGTTATCTTTATAAATAAAAAGCATTGTCAAACAAGGTGAAGTCAACTGGCATTTCAACATGAGGTCAAATAAAATCATTTATGTACCTTAATGATGGATTGATTTTAGTTTAAACAATATTTATTCAGATAAATCATCACAAAATGATATGATACAATTGAAATAAATATTAAGGATTCAGAAACAAGCAAATTTGCTTTTACAAATCTGTCTCCTATAAATGGATTGATTATTGGTGAATTAACCCAGTGTCAGTACACATGTTAGAATATCCCTACATGTTAACAACTAGATACTAGTGCAATAAAGAATTTGTTAATGTTTAAAAAAAAAAAAAGAAAAAAAATATTCCTACTAAAATTTATTGATAGCTGTTGTCATCAGATAACCATTGGGCAATGATATTTTCTGCACTTGAAAATGTTTTTATTTGCATGCTTAAAATTATACAAATATGCCTATGCTAAAAAAATAAAAACTTTAGTAATCATTTTACTGTAAATTTAGAAATTTTAGTGATTTTTGAAGAATGGAGAAAAATGTGAGATAAATTATTGAGATTTGAGAGAACGGTGTATACAAACATTACAAATAATGTTATCAGAATTAAAGATGTCAGTTTTTATATTTGCCATAGGTTTTTAGTCACAATTTTGCAGATAACAAGAATGTGTCCATAATACACGGATGCCCCACTTGCACTATCATTTTCTATGTTTAGTGGACCGTGAAATTGGGGTAAAAACTCTAATTTGGCATTAAAATTAGAAAGATCATGTCATAGGGAATATATGTACTAAGTTTCAAGTTGTTTGTACTTCAACTTCATCAAAAACTACCTTGACCAAAAACTTTAACCTGTAGCAGAACAGACAGAAGGAAGGACGAACGGATGCACAGACCGAAAAACAATCTTATAAATTTCTGAATATACAGTACTCTACATGTAATATATTATTATACCTTCAATATCAATGGACAGTACATTTCTGACATTTTTCACATTTTTTGGATCATAGTCGTCATGTAGTGACTGAAAATATCCTGCTTTTACTGGAGATATCTCTGGTGACAGTTCTCTGTAACGTTTCTGCTTATCTTTCCTACGTTTATGGTTGGAGATATGTAGTAGGACAATAATCGTCACTGATAACGCCTGGTGTATTAAGGAAAAATAGGTTACAGTAAAACAGAGGAACGACTTAATGCTTTAATACCTAGATAAATGCCAGTCAAACTGATTCATATGTGGTCATTGCAAAAGATAAATCTGGATTGATTTACTGCTATAGCTTATAATAAGTACAAAAACAAGAGTTTACAAGTCTTAACACTGTTTTATAGGATTAATTTAATCCTGTTTAAAACATAACTAAGTCTTTGATATTGTAAACGATTCCCTGCAACTATGTGTCTCGTCTGTGATTGCTGTTTACAGTATAAAAGGTCAATGTAGACAAAGCCACAGACTGAACATGTTGTGTCCTCTTATAGCCATTTATTTAGTATGAGTGGATAGTTGTCTCATTGGAAATCATACCACATCTCCTTATTTTTATATTTATTAAACAGTGATAATATAATTTTTGGATTAATCAATTTAATTTTTTTCACCAAACCAACAAAGGAATATGATCTACAAATCCACAGATAAAGGATACAACTCCCACTAAGATATGTTTCCAATAGCCTTTCCTTCCTTTGTTACACATCTGTAATCGTCCTGTTCTGTTATTTATCTCCTGATTGGGTAAAACCAACGATTCCCAGCCTGGGTTACAGATACAGGCACTTTTGTTGGGTAACAGTATCCCATGATTACATGCCAGTCTCCTCTGCAAAAGCATTTAAAATCAAAGTACTGAAGTACTGAACATCGCATGACCGCAAGTTCTGGTGGATAGTCACAGGCACTTGTCTCAGAAAAAAAATCATATCTCTATACCTGAAAGTTAGGTTAAGGTACAAAGATATATATTTTTTTTTCTGAGACAAGTTCCTGAATAAATAACAAGGAATTCAACCTCACCGTAATAATTATTATATTGTAGTGATATAATCATTTGTTATCAGTATCATCTGGTTTGTTGTTATATTATATAAATATTTGTATAACAGTTATATATATAGCAGATCATCTTAATAACTCTACCGACAAATTTTCATCCATTTATACCATCAATCTATTCTACTATTCTAATGATAGTGCAGTGCAAGTGCATGGTGGACTCTCTTCTGTAAAAATAGGTTTGATTTGAGAAGGCATTCATATTTCTCCCGCTGTCATTGCAAAACGTTCTCGAGATATTCTTCAGAATGCGTAACACAAATTTTCTGTATTCATAATTTGTTACTGATATATATATTTCTCACGACAAAACATTTTCATATCATCTATCTATGTTCTTAAAAAAATATTTTCATGAATATGTATTGATGAAATTAATATATAACAAGCGATAAGAGATATTCATCCACAAACACAATTTTTCGGTACATGTGCATAGATATAATGATTTTTTTTCCTTATATATGTTGTGTACAAGTTATCATTTTGTACAAATCATAATTTGTACAAAAAAAATTGTACAAATTATAAATTGTATTTTGACTTTGTACAAATTGTAATTTGTACAAAAAGTGCTTGTAAAAATTACAATTTGTACAAAATTTGACTAAAATTCACTCATAACTTGTACAATAATTTAGAGTGTGAATTTTGTTATAAAAAAAAAGCATTGATACACTTAAGATTTTTTATTCAATGACCCCACAATAAACCTTATTTACAAAGTACAAAAATAGTTCTGTATTATTTGTTTGAGCATGCGAGTGAATTACGGCATCAGGAATTGCACAACATCTTTTGCTTTTTACATTTACATTTAGACGTGCTTCATCCCCCTTTACATTTACAAGGAAGAAACCCCTGACAACCATTTTTGAAAGCTTTTTAACTGGTTCATGTAGCGAAAGTTGAAGCTCAGCAACCATTGCTGCGAATAAAGGTGTGTCATTAGCAGCTTAAATTTGATTTCTCGACATATATCCTGTTAAAATTTCTACAGCTGTTCCAATGCGATACCCAAATTCTCCTGATTAAATAATTACACCTGAGATATTTCGAGGATCAGTTGGGGCACGATCATGCTGAGGAATTGGTATGATGATCCCCCATAGCAAGTTCTGATAATTTCCGTTTCGTTTTCTTGGTTAGATATTCGGCTTGGATCTGTGGGCGCATTACATTTGTGCCCATTTGGGGATTAACAAAATTATGTTTGCGCGCAGCTTTTGGTTACATTTGGGCACATTCATTTTACAGGTAAGCCAGGTAAACATAAAGATTTCATAATAAATATGACTATAAATTGTTGTATTTCATAATAAATATAACTATAAATGACAAGATTTGAAAGTATTTGTTGGTTTAAATTATATATTTTTCATATTGAATTCTAAAAAATGAGTGGTCTTGAGAAATAATTTGTATTTTCCTGTACCTGGGATTACCTATAAAATAAATGCGTGCAAATGAATTCAAAAGCTGCGCGCAGACGTAATGATTTTTGCGCGCAAATGTAGTGCACCGGGATCTGTTGTCCAGACAGCGCACGCTTCCTGGCACGTATGATTGTTGTTTCAATGTCAGTGTCATCCTGATTGTCACTGGGGCCAATTTCTATTATTCTTTTAGAATTGTCACATGGGCCAATTTCTATTGTACTATCAGAATTAACTGGCGTGCATGTATCAATTACATTTCCTGTCTCCATCTGGGTATTTTTTTGTATTTTGTAAATGAGGTTTATTGTATGGTCATTGAACAAAAATTCTATGATGTGTATCAATTGTTTTTATAAACAAATCCGTACTATAAATTATTGTACAAGTTATAAGTGAATTTTAGTGAAATTTTGTACAAATTGTAATTTGTACAAGCACTTTTTGTACAAATTACAATTTGTACAAAGTCAAAATACAAATTATAATTTGTACAATTTTTTTGTACAAATTATAATTTGTACAAAATGATAACTTGTACACAACATATATATATATATTTCTCACGACAAAACATTTTCATATTATTTATTTATGTTCTTAAAAAATATTTTCATGAGTATTCATTGAAGAAATGAATTTATAACAAGCGATAAGGAATGTTATTTTGCACTCAATAATATCCATGTATTTAAACGAAATACATTCGGTTATCAGTCAAAAGCACAAGGGACGTGTCCAGAAATTTCTGTGGCAACATAACACCGGTATGACCTCTCAAGGTCACATCCAATGTAAAAATCATAAATCAAATGACATATATGTTAAGTCTTATTTCACTGGTTAGTGTCATGGCAACCAAAATGTTTATATATGTATGAACCCATTTATTCATGCAACAAGTTTGAAATGTGACACAGGTGAAATAGCTCTGTAAATTTCATTTTTGTACATTTTTATCAAGAAGTAAAGGTTATTTTTATGGAGTTCATTACTGTGCTTACTCCTTCTACCACTCAACAAACTCATGTCATTAGGAGTTTATCCAGTTTTGAGTGAGTGAGTCAAGTTAACCAATCTGATAAACTCCATACAATTAATTTTTATTTAACAGTTATGGGAATAAAAGGATGATGTCATGATGGGACAACAACCTCACCACAAAATTACCAAAATACATAGTTTGTTAATGTTAAACTGCCAATATGAGTAAAATTTCTTCTCTAAAGGGTAATTGTGATAACACAAAGAAATATATTGTTTTTATACATCAGATAGATACCTCAGTCATCCAATCTACTTCTTCATATTCAGCATGATAATTGTGTTTCCCTGACAACAGCTTCTTTTCTTCCTTAGTCATAAACTTAGGTCTAGCTACATTCTTACAGGAATTACTTTGGATATCAAAAACCTATGAAAGAATAGAGACAATGTGACAAAACACTCAAGATACATTATTTCAAAATAAACAGCTGCGCCATGAGCGCATGATATGCCAGTCTTCTTGTGTGTGAATTTTTATGCAATAATCATAAATTGTTTCTGACATACAGCGCGACATGCGAAAACCCCCCTTTTTTTTTTAACAAAAAACTCAATATCTCTAAAATAAAATTTTGAATCAAAACCAAAAAGTACACAAATCTTAAGATTAATATAACTAAGAAGTGTGTAAAATTTTAAGCAATAATCATAAATTGTTTTTGAGATACGGCGCGACATGTGAAAAACCCCTCCCCTTTTTTTACAAAATACTCAATATCTCTAAAATAAAATTTTGAATCATCACCAAAAAGTATACAGATCTTAAGATTAATATAACTAAGAAGTGTGTAAAGTTTTAAGCAATAATCATAAATTGTTTATGAGATACGGCGTGATATGTGAAAAAAACACACACCTGTTTTAGTTACTCCCGTAACTTAAAAAGTTTTAATCTTATTTTCACCAAAAAGTATACAGATCGTTTGACCATCATAAGAAACAACTATGTTAAGTTTCATGAAATTTGGATAAGTCGTTCTCAAGTTACGGTGCGACATGTTTACGCCAGACAGACAGACGGACAGACAGACAGACGACATTTGTATACCATAATACGTCCAGTCAAAATTTTGACGGGCGTATAAAAATGTAGATGATGCCCCCACTTGCAAATAATGTTTAAAGGAACTTAACTCAAGAACGGTAAAAGTGATGCAACACAAACAGAACTTGATCTGTGTTTTGTGGTAATAAGAAGTGTGTATAAGTTCCATAGCATTTGGTTGAGGCAAACAAAAGTTAGAGAACAGAAACCAATTTGTGACATACAGATGGACAAGGGTAACACTAAATGCCCCCTCCACATCGACAGAGGCATAAAAATCAATTTGAAAACATCTTGTTGGACCGAAAATTTTAAATGAAATACAATGTGTTCGAAAGGCATCACACTCACACCACATTAAAATATATTCAGTAGTAACTTTGAGCAAATTATTCCAATGGTCTTTTATTTACATGTACCAATCAAAACTAGCCATCAATTCTTCAAATCTTGATGAAAAATTTGTATATGTGATGTTAACTGGGCTATGCATTAAAATTTTACTGCTGTACCTTAAGCATCCAAATTATTCTCATTTTATTTAAAGCACAATGGTCCTTTTGTCAATCACTTTAAACATGTTAAATCATTTTGAAATCTTTCTGAAGCTATTTTATTACTTGAATATATTTTTAGAACTCACTTAGTCAGATAATCAAATGAGACTAAAATCAAATTATAAAATTTTGAATTATTTTCTTTAATTTTCCTGAAAGAAAGCTAAAAGTTTACGATCAAGACCTAATTTTTAGAAATAAAGAACACCACAAATATTTTCTAGAAAATGGTATTCTATATAAATGAATGCAGATTATATTCATGGAGTATACTGTAAATTCATAAATTATTGCGTGCATTTATTTTTACGATTTTTGAAGAATGGACAAAAATGCGAGATTAATTATTGCGATTTCAAGAAAATCTGGATACAAATATATGTATCGAAATTCAGAATGCAAGTTCTTATTATTGCGATACTCATCCAATCGCATTATTCGCATTAATAAAATTTTCGCAATAATTTCTGAATTTACAGTAATCATTTGTGAATTTTAGCAAAAATTAAAGGACGAAAAAAGATTATTTATCAAATTAAGGAGATTTTTTAAAGGAAGTAACAAAATAAATGGTGGTACCTGTTTTATTTTATATTGAACAAAATATTGTTAAATAGTAACATTTGCAGTACTTAAAAGCAGTAAATGATCTCCCCTGACCAAATCACAAATTCTTTGATTGGTAAATAAATCTTTGCCTGATGTGTCTCTCTGAGGATAAGATATTTAAATAATCAAATGTCCACAATAATATGAATGAATTTTCAGTTTTTTATGTTTGAATTTTAAAACATATGATATAAACAATGCCTAATATCCAACATGACAATATATGTTTAGTTTGTTTCTTAGATCACCAACACATTTCAACATTCAGGTATTTAAAATTTATGGCAAACAAATTTTTTGAATTTTCTACGTGCGGTGGCCTAAGCCTGTTTTTCTGCTCTTTGGTCAGATTGTTGTCTCTTTGACACATTCCCCATTTCCATTCTCAATTATAGAATTCCTTTTCCATGCACTAACCAAGAAAAAGTGTTACAAAGCAAATAAAACTTTTGAAAATTTGTCTGATTAGGCTAGAAAAAACATAACACTTTTAGTTTCTATATGTGCCTGTCCCAAGTCAGGAACCTGTTGTTCAGTGGTTGTCGTTGGTTCATGTCTGTCATATTTGTTTTTTATTTATTGTTTTGTTATAAATTAGCTAGCTATTAGTTTTCTCAATTGAATTGTTTCATATCTTTCATGTCAGAGTCTTTTATAGCTGACTATATGGTGTGGATTTTTCTCATTGTTGAAGGCAGTACTGTTGCCTATAATTGCTTACCTTCATTTCATTTGAACTTTGGTGGATAGTTGTCTCATTGGCAATCATACCACATTTCCTTATTTTTATTTATATACATATATATCATACACTTCCCAAATGTTATTGAAACCGGGTCTGGACCTGCATTGCTGCATGTGAATGATTGAGGTAACGTCATGTATACTGGAATATAACTGAAGTCAAGAAAGTCTTCACAAAAAATTTCCTTGTACAATGAGTGTTGTGATATTTCAAACTATTGGCAAACAGGAAGTGGCTACACGGCAGATGTTAAAATTATTTACTCACTGCAACTCAAAATAAACAAGCTGCAGACCAAATATTAAATCATTACTTTCAATAGGAGCCTAGAAATCTTTGACAAAACTTTTCTTTGTACAATGATATAAAATTTCAAACAATCAGCAATCAGGAAGTGGAAAGAGATAAAATTGCATACTCACTACCACTCAACATTATCAAGATGCAGACTAAATATTAAATAATTCCCTTCTATAGAAGCCAAGAAAATTGACCAAAGATTTCTTTTTTCAGACAGATGAATGGAGTCAAGCTGTTTTTAGACCTGCTTCCATCTTAAATGACATATGTAATAAGGAGATGTTGTATGACTGCAAATAAGACCAAATGACTAATGGTAAGCAGTTATAGGTAATCATAGACTTCAACAATGCGCGAAACCCATATGGTCTAGTAAGCTATAAAAGGCCCTGACATGTACACTTTCACTGAAACCTGAAATGGAACTGGCTGCTTAACCAAGGTAACATTTTTACTACTGAAAAAATAATTTTGATATAATAGAATTATACCATAGCTGGTGGATTCTTGTTACTACCAGGACAGTCAGGTAACGGTGTACACAGCCTGCTCATCTCGTTGAAGTAGTTACGATGTCCATGGTACTTACCATAGCAGGTGGATTCTCGTTACTACCAGGACACTCAGGTAATGGTGTACACAGCCTACTAGTCTCATTAAAGTAGTTACGATGTCCATGGTACTTACCATAGCTGGTGGATTCTCGTTACTACCAGGACAGTCAGGTAATGGGGAACACAGCATACTAGTCTCGTTGAAGTAGTTACGATGTCCATGGTACTTACCATAGCTGGTGGATTCTCGTTACTACCAGGACAGTCAGGTAATGGTGTACACAGCCTACTAGTCTCGTTGAAGTAGTTACGATGTCCGTGGTACTTCATATCACACAATACTGGAGAACAATGATGAAATCTGTCCTCATCTGGTGACGGACATTTGTGGGGTATTCGTATGTCAAATAAATATTCTGTAATACAAATATAATTATAATTATTGTACCTCAATGTTATATAACTTATTAGAATATTACAGAAAATAATATAGCTGGAAAATGATGTTTCTATATAAAGATGTAGAAAAAAAAGAGGTGCAAGATACAAAAAGGACATGCAAAATTAATATGTTAAATTAGTGATAATCGAATCTGTAGGGATGGGCTATCCTTTAGTGAGTTCACTCACATGTCTAGATAAGTATAATTATCTCCCTTTAACATGTAGGCCCACGATTCTTGTAAATCTTGTCATATATATAGTGAAATGATTACTGCATGCAAATTGCTGAATATTTCTCTTGTAGAATGTAAACTCTATAAGAAGCTTTTGTAGATAATGTACTCACAGTATTTATGCTATAACTGTAGTATATTAGTGTTTATGCTCTAACTGTAGTATATTTTAAGTGTCAAAATGATGAGGCTGTTATGTTTTTATTGTTTTTCCTGTTTGGTATAGGTATATTAAGTATATATTGCAGAATTGAAACCATTCTACAGTGGTAGCAAATTTCCTTCTTATATTCTCTTAGAAAAGCAGGCACAAACCATATATGATAATGACTTAACTTGAACTCTGGTTGAACTCAAAAAAGGATACTCTATGTATACAAATTATCTCCCCTTTAGCATGTGGACCAAGATTACATTCCTTTATGTAAATCCTCAGCTAGTGTCCTTCAAATGTGTAAAGTTTCACCAATATCTGTCAAGACCTTCAAGAGGTGTTGTGCTTACAGGGGACACTTGCAATATTGAAGTAAGTAAGTTTGATTATCTCCCCTTTAACATGTAGAACATACATATCTTTTTTTCTAGTCTATCCTCGTCAAGTACTTTAAAACTGTTAAATTTTCGTCAATATCTGTTAAGGCGGGGCAGGAGGAACAAGAAGGCACAAGTGTCATGCTATGCATTCTCCCACTCTTAATTCAAAGTATAGGAAAGCAGAAGGCACAAGTGTCATGCTATGCATTCTCCCACTCTTAATTCAAAGTATAGGAGAGCAGAAGGCACAAGTGTCATGCTATGCATTCTCCCACTCTTAATTCAAAGTATAGGAAAGCAGAAGGCACAAGTGTCATGCTATGCATTCTCCCACTCTTAATTCAAAGTATAGGAAAGCAATAGGTAGATGTGTCATGCTATGCATACTCCCACTCGTAATTCAAAGTATAGGAAAGCAGAAGGCACAAGTGTCATGCTATGCATTCTCCCACTCTTAATTCAAAGTATAGGAAAGCAGAAGGCACAAGTGTCATGCTATGCATTCTCCCACTCTTAATTCAAAGTATAGGAAAGCAATAGGTAGATGTGTCATGCTATGCATACTCCCACTTGTAATTCAAAGTATAGGAAAGCAGAAGGCACAAGTGTCATGCTATGCATACTCCCACTCGTAATTCAAAGTATAGGAAAGCAATAGGTAGATGTCCCACAAATCCAATAAGGCTGATGACCAAATATGAACTCATTCTGTTTTGTAGAAATTGAGTAAAATGTGACAAAAATTTTAAATATTATATACTCAATAAATTGAAAAGATCAAAGTATCCATACCTGTCAACTTTCAATTTCCATAGGGGTTTTAGTGCCAGACATGATGGACAAAGAAAGATAATTTTGTTTCTAATTCCTTGTGAAATATTATAGACAGTACTCTAAATGATTTGATATTAATTTAATAACAAGAATGACAACACCGTAGGATCTCTTACAATTAAGGTAATGTCCATAAGCTACTATTAAATATGTTCATGGTAGCACTACAACTCAAACTGTTTCAAAGAAAGCACACTACATTGACTTGTACTGAACTTGATTCAAATCTTAATAGTCTGACTTAACTTAACATCAATAAAAACATTTTATGAACAATTATTTTACATTATCTGTATATGGTTGCTTGAACATCTTGAGTGGCTCATCATCTAGTCGTACAAAGAAGTTACTGAAATGACACAGGTTTCTCCTATAGAACCCCAGGGTATACTCACCATTAACAAATTCAGGTAAGAATGACACAGGTTTCTCCTATAGAACCTAAGGGTATACTCAGCATTAACAAATTCAGGTAAGAATAACACAGGTTTCTCCTATAGAACCCAAGGGTATACTCACCATTAACAAATCAAATCAAATCAAATATTTTATTGTCGTATAAACTTTACAGACTGTGACCAACATGTATTAACACAATAAACATATATACATACATATCAAACAAACACAATAAAAACAGCATCAAAATTTATAAAAACAAACAAGCTGTTAAGAGTCCCCTGCCCTCAGTTCTAATGACTTTTTCAAGAAGGATCCTAACTTATTTGTTTGTAAAGGCGTTGGTGGATTTAGTAAATAATGAATTTTTTCTTCTTCATTTAAATTATTAAAGTTATTATTTTCAGTACATATGTGTTCAAAAAAGGCATTTCTTAGTGTTTTACTATAATCACAATAGAGTAAAAAATGTTTCTCATCCTCTAGTATTTTACATTTATGACAAAGTCGTTCCTCTCTTGGGATTTTAAAATATCTCCCCTTTTCAATTGAGAGGGAGTGATCACTTAGTCTAAATTTAGTGATCAATCTCCTTATCTGAAAGAGGGACGAAAGATACCAGAGGGACAGTCAAACTCATAGATCGAAAACAAACTGACATTGCCATGGCCAAAAATAAAAAGACAAACAGACAAATAATAGTACAGATGACACAACATAGAAAACTAAAGACTAAGCAACACGAACCTCACCAAAAACTGGGGGTGATCTCAGGTGCTCCGGAAGGGTAAGCAGATCCTGCTCCACATGTGGCACCCGTCGTGTTGCTTATGTTATTACAAATCCGGTAAATAGTCTAATTCGGTAGGTCACATTCGTGAAAAGGGAAGGGTATTGAAGTTACGACATAAGGAACATATCCAATATCATCTGTGAAACGGTTATTCCATAACAATCAACCAACTCGTGATGGCGTACGTAAAATTTACGAAGGGATGATTTCAACTTCACCATTTGGAACTCTTGGTTTAATAGCTTCCTAGTGAGCAGCAATCCTCTATCAAGGAAATCATGATAGGAAATACAAGCCCGGGAATATCGTATCAATTGGGAGATATATACTCCGTATGCAGGCGCTGTTGGAATGTTGCTACATAGAAATGGAAAGTTCACAATTGGGAAGCTGAAATCATCTCTTTTGTCGTAAAGTTTTGTTTTCAACCGACCCTCATTGTCAATTTCTAGATGTAAGTCAAGATATGAGGCAAACTTAACTGTATCTGTAGTATCCTTTATCTCTAGTTCGATGGGATAGATTCGTTCAACATAGTCAAAATTAGATATATTTAGATAAGTTTCTAGTTTGCAATCTTTTTAAAGTTTTTTATATAGATAAAATTTACTTTTATCATCAATGTTTTCAAATTTAGTTTCAATTAAATCTTCATATCTATTTTTCATTTTTAACTTTATATCGTTTTTTATTTTATTTACATCTTTTATGTCTTTACAATTAGAAAGAATATTAAGGTCAATATTAGTCTCTTCAACAATATTTTTTGCATATGAATACCATGAATAAGTTCCAGTCAAATCTAGAGACTGTGCTAGAGAAAAAGCTTCCTTTATCAATGGATTAATATTATTATTATACAGTCTAGCTAAATATAAAAGGGTTTGTGTTTTAATAAAACATTCTATAGGCAATCTTCCTAATTCAACTCTTGATTAACAAATTCAGGTAAAAATGACACAGGTTTCTCCTATAGAACCCCAGGGTATACTCACATTAACAAATTCAGGTAAGAATGACACAGGTTTCTCATATAGAACCCCAGAGTATACTCACATTAACAAATTCAGGTAAGAATAACACAGGTTTCTCATATAGAACCCCAGGGTATACTCACCATTAACAAATTCTGGTAAAAATGACACAGGTTTCTCGTATTCCAATGTTGTGTTGAATATAATCTGTAAAATCTGTGTAAAGTTGTCTGCTTTAAGGAACAGTATACAATTACCAGCCATGTCATGTGGATACTGTAACAAACAACAAGTTCATTTAATAAGGGGAGATAATCTGTGTAAAGTTGTCTGCTTTAAGGAACAGTATACAATTACCAGCCATGTCATGTGGATACTGTAACAAATTATAAGTTCATTTAATAAGGGGAGATAATCTGTGTAAAGTTGTCTGCTTTAAGGAACAGTATACAATTACCAGCCATGTCATGTGGATACTGTAACAAACAACAGGTTCATTTAATAAGGGGACATAATCTGTGTAAAGTTGTCTGCTTTAAGGAACAGTATACAATTACCAGCCATGTCATGTGGATACTGTAAAAAACAACAAGTTCATTTAATAAGGGGACATAATCTGTGTAAAGTTGTCTGCTTTAAGGAACAGTATACAATTACCAGCCATGTCATGTGGATACTGTAACAAACAACAAGTTCATTTAATAAGGGGACATAATCTACCTCCATAATATTGTGAGAAATAAGCCCTAAAGGACAATCTAGACAAATTTTAATGTTCGTTCAAACAGTTTTATTCATTGGCTTAAGATAAGTGTTTATCATAAATATCAAACTGTTTTCTTGAAAGCACTGTTATCAAATCTTGAATAAGAGAGTCATTTATGTGCCCAATCATTTTATACACTAATGATTCAATGATAGTACCTTTAGAATTGTTTTGAACATAACCTAAGATTATAAATTTAAGGCTTAATTATCT